ATGCATATTCTGTCGGAACCCATGGCTTTGGAGGCTTTCGCCTTCCCGATGGCCACGTGAACTTCACCGCAAGTGAAAGCAAGGGGGCACAAGTTGTTGGCAATTTGTGCGGCCTTCTGGTCACTCGACGCTTGGCTTTGTCCACCGGAGGATGCAGTATGAAATGCCGGCTAAAATAGCTCGCGCATCGCTACGGGTCCAACGAAGCATGGTCGCCGAAAGAAATTCCGACTCTCNCTCTGGTGGTTGAGGGAGCTTTGAAATATAAAAGTTGAACAGTAGCGGGGAACGGACACCATCCTGTGGAACCTCCTGTTTTATTTTTCTGAGATTACTGGATTTGTCTCTAAACATTACCGACGATTGTCGACCGCTCAGATAATTTGCCGACCATCGTTTGAGCCTCTGTGGGAGAGAGGAAGCCTCTATATCTTCTAGTAGCGTGGAATGGCTGACAGTGTCAAACGCCTTTGACAAGCCCAACGCTACTAGAATCGTTCTCTCACAGGGACGGTTACGGTTAAGGCCACGAGTTATCTGAGTATTTATGGCGTTAAGTGCTGTTGAACAGTACAACAACAGCACTTTACGGAAACCATGCTGATGCTTCGCTGGGGTCAGGTGGTTCGTGAAATACGGGAGCAGAAAGGCCTCGAGTGTCTTCGCTACCTGGGAAAGGAGTGTTATCGGCCGATACGTATCTCCTTTGTTGGCTGGTTTCCCCGGTTTGAGCAGTGGGACCACTCTCCCCACCTTCCAGATGTCTGGGATGATGAGAGTGGCCATAGACAGATTGAGGACCTCCGTTAGGTACGCTACTCCCGCAGGACCCAAATTTTTCAGCATCAGCATGCATATTCTGTCGGAACCCATGGCTTTGGAGGCTTTCGCCTTCCCGATGGCCACGTGAACTTCACCGCAAGTGAAAGCAAGGGGGCACAAGTTGTTGGCAATTTGTGCGGCCTTCTGGTCACTCGACGCTTGGCTTTGTCCACCGGAGGATGCAGTATGAAATGCCGGCTAAAATAGCTCGCGCATCGCTACGGGTCCAACGAAGCATGGTCGCCGAAAGAAATTCCGACTCTCTCGTCGTGCTTCGTCGGATTGGACAGTGACTTCACGGTTGACCAAAGCTTACTCACACCAGAGGTGAGGTTACAGGTCTTCATATGCTCTTCCCACTTCTTCCGCTTATGTACTTTGAGATCCTTTGTACGGAGATTTTCGGGATCGGTTAGAACAGCCGCTTCAGCAGGGAAATTTGGACGTGGGNCGGTAGCAGTGACGTTAGTTGGTGTTGTTGTTGTTGTTGTAGCGGCTACAACAACCCCGCCCAGATAGGTTGATATCTCAGTCGTTGTCGTCAAGTTCCACAAACGGCAGGCCTAGGAAGCGTGCAGCTTCTCTCGGGTCGGTCCACAAGGACAAAGCCGTTAGGGTTGTCGGGTTTTCCGGATATGCGAAGAGATGTGTCGAGTCATGTGGGGTCTCTCCGCATGCCTGACACTCATTTGGCACATCCTCATTTAATCTACTCAGGTAGGAGTTTAACCTGCTGCAGTAGCCGGAGCGAAGTTGTGCTATTGTCGTTCGTGTCTCCCGAGGCAGATGAAGCTCCGTCTCGTCTATGTCCGGGGGCGGTATGCCTAGAACGGCATTCACAGGTCTAGTCTACATAACTCGAGACTGACTCCCTGTGAATGCCGTTCAGGGCCATTCGGTAAGCTGACGGGTCCAGGGGTTGCTTGATGAACCTCTGGACTTCGTCCGTCATCCGTATTATCGCGGGTCCGTAATACATCCTGCCGGTACGAAGCGAGCTGCAGCAGCGGTGACAGCCCTGCGGAACTTACGTTCACCAAGGTGGACGTCGGTTGGTGTGGGGAGAGCAG